AATAAAACTAATGTGTGCATGAATCAAGGTAAATGTACCAAGTTTTATCCCAAACCTTGTAGAGCGACAACAAAAATTGATGATGGTGGCTTCCCTATTTACAAGTGTGGTAGTAATGATAGAACTCTCCGCAAGAAGAGATTTGATTGCGATAATTGGTATGTGGTTCCGTACAACAAAGACCTTATGAGTCGTTTCCGAGCCCATATAAATGTTGAGTGGTGCAATCAAACGAGGTCAATCAAGTATCTTTTCAAGTATATTACCAAGGGTCCTGACTATGTTAGTGCTTCTGTTGAACAGGATGATACTATAGATAATGAAGTTAAAAAGTTCCTCAACTGCAGTTTTGTTTGTATTAATAGTTGTTTCAAGTGGGATGTTATTTTATTGTTTGATTACCGAATGGAATTTAGACAATATGACTGTGCATGTGATATGTTATTGAGATTTTTTTATTTTTTTCAGATATATCTCAGCATGCGAGGCAACTTCGAGAATATTAGTTTTCCCAACTCATTTTCGTTCGACGACTGTTGTTAATCTCTCTTTCCACTTATCGGGTCAGCAAATGGTTGTTTATAATGAAGATGATTCTATAGACGATCTTATAAATCGTGCGTCTGTGATTCGGTCTAAGTTTATGGCTTGGATGGAATCAAATAGTAAATTCCCGGAGGCAGAAGCATTGACATATGCTGATTTCCCGATAAAGTTTGTTTGGGTACAGAGGACTAGGGAATGGAAGCTACGCAAACGAGGCTTTGCCATTGGAAGAATTACGTACATTCCTCCCAATTATGTTCAGTGTTACTATATGCGTGTTTTGCTGAACATTGTTAAATGTCCGAATAGTTATGAGGATATACGAATGTTTATGATTCGTACAAAGAAGCTTGCTACGCCTTGGGATTGCTGGACGATGATAAAGAGTATATTTCGGCTATTAAAGAAGCGAGTTTTGGGGCTCAGGAAAATATTTGCGCAGACTATTTGCTATTATGTTGCTATCTAATAGCATTTCCGAGCCTGTTAACGTGTGGAACAAGACATGGCAGATCCTGAGCGAGGATATATTATATATGCTCAAGAAAAAATTGGATAATCCAAGTAAGTCGTTTCTTTATTTTACATATATCGGTGTACTGTTGGATTAGTGAATATAGGCTAATTTTTGTTTCATATTGTGTAGATTTCACTATGACCGACGATGAGTTGAAGAGTTGTGCACTTTCTAAAATAGAGAAATACCTTTGTCGAAATGGGAATTCATTGACCAACTACGATAAGATGCCTCATGTTGTGGACGATGTCATGGATAAGACTATTAATCATCTTTTAATGGACGAGCACAGTTATAATAGAGATCAGCTCAAGGCCGAGCATACGAGATTACTGACAACCATAACAGATGAACAAAAATGGTTTACGAAAAGATTATACATGCTGTTAATCATGAGAGGGTGTTATATTTTTTGTTTGCGGTTTTGGTGGTACTGGCAAAACATTTTTGTGGAGTGTATTGGGATCTGATATTCGCTCTAGAGGTGACATCGTTCTAAACGTGGCATCGAGTGAGATTGCTTCTTTGTTGCTCCAAGGAGGAAAGACCACTCATTCTAGGTTTGGCATTCCAATCGTTGTTAATGAGTTTATAACATGTTCAATTGCTGCGGAATCACATTAGGCAGAGTTGATCAAGGAAGCCAAACTGATTATTTGGGATGAGGTGCCGATGATGAGCAAACATTGTTTTGAGACATTGGATAGAACAATGAGGGATATTCTGAAATGTGATAAAGTGTTTGGTGGTAAAGTTGTTGTGTTCGGTGGAGATTTTAGTCAAATATTACTTGTGATTGTTGGTGGTAATCGAGCTGAAACCGTCATGTCATCTCTGAACTCTTCAGCGCTGTGGAGCAGTTGTACAGTCTTGAAACTTACCATGAATATGCGTCTTCTTTGTGGTGTTGATGCAAATAGTGCCCAAGAACTGGAGTCTTTTTCAAAATGGATACTTACTATAGGTGAAGGAAAGATCAATTAGCCTAACACTTGAGAGGTTGAGATAGATATACCAGATGATTTGCTGATAATTGGGAGTAGAGATCCTATAGAGAAAATTGTCTAAGAAGTGTATGGCCATTCATATGCAAGAGAGCGAGATCCGTTGTTTTTTCAGGGGCGAGCTATTCTGAGTCCAAGGAATTCTGACGTCGACGTTATAAACGAGTATATGTTATCTCGCGTAACAAGTAACATTTACTGTTTCGTATATAGTTTGGTTTAGTTAAGGTGCTTTTGATTAATTTTGTTATTTGTTTTTGTTATAGGCGAGGAGAATTCGTACCTTAGTTCAGATAGTATTGATACGTCGGACACAAGTAAAAATGACGATATGGTTTACACCCAAGAATATCTGAATAGCATAAAAGTTTCTGGTTTGCCTAATCATGATCTAAAGCTGAAGATAGGCACTCCTATTTTGTTGCTAAGGAATATCGATCCTCGGGGTGGTTTGTGCAACGGAACGAGGTTACTTGTAACGCAGCTCGCGGCGCATGTGATTGAAGCCAAACTTATCACATGACAGAGGGTTGGACAGAAAATATTGATTCCAAGGATGTTTGTTTCGCCATCTTAGACTAGATTTCCATTCAGGATGCGTCATCGACAGTTTCCTGTTGCTATTGCTTTTGCGATGACTATAAATAAAAGTCAGGGTCAGACTTTACAAAAAGTTGGTCTTTTTTTGTCAAGACCTGTGTTTTCCCATGGTCAGCTATACGCCGCTGTCTCCAGAGTAACATTACGTTCCAGTTTGAAGATCTTAATAACTGACGAGGTTGGGAAACCAAAGAAACGTACTGTTAATGTTGTCTACAAGGAAGTGTTTGAGAACATCTAGATCTTTTGGTTTTTGTTCTGCATTTTGAATTTGGTCTGAGATTGTTTTTGGTTCTGGGTTTGTTTTGGTTGTGGATTTTTATCGTTTTGGTTTGGTTATTAGTCTTGGTTTTGGTTAATGTTGCACGTTAATTATTTCTATTTATTTATGAACTATTTTTCTATCTTGGTTTTTTGTACTTTATACATAAAACAGAACTAACTGTTATTCTTTCAAAATATATTTATAGGAAACTGTTTGTCTATAAAGATAGCTAATCAGCATTGACACTACAAACAAGAAACTAATTATTAATATTGTAATTATTGATACACTATATGCTTCTTATTTCATATAACAAGTGTTTTTTGGTTTAGAATTTGATCGTTTTGGTATTTCTGCTATGATGCGGACATTCTTAAAAGTCTTTGAGATAGACCCTTATGTTGTGAATCCCTCTATTGAAATTAAACTGCTGAAGAAATGGCATGCGAAGGATAGGAATCGTCGGCCTAAATTAAAGATGATCTTCGTTGACATGCATGTAAGTTCACTAATCCTAGCTTTGAATTCATTTCCTGTCTCCTAAAATGTATTTGTGTCCAGTTGTAATGACTATAGTGTTTATAGGGGTCGAAGATACAAGCTTCAATTGGAAACAAATACATTCATTTGTTTGAAGACGAATTTATCGAAGAAAAGTGGAAACTCTTAAGCGGTTTTGTAGTTAAAACTTCTAATGCTTTCATTCGTATAGCAAGACATCCTTTCAAGCTGAAGTTTGTTACAAACACTAGATGTTATTGATAGTCGAATGGATGCCACTTATACTATCGGTAAATTTTTTATGCAAAGAATAATAGTAATTTTTGTGTTAAACAAACAAGAAAAAAAAATAATATTTTCATAATTTTGTGCTGTTGTTTGTTAGATTTAATTGGTGTTCTTAAAAACATCGGTGAGCTAGAGATTTTTGATGAGAGTAAAATACAAGATGATTATGCTATCATCCCTTTTGCTCTCCAAACGACAAGTAAGGTTACACTGTTATTTATTTTCACATCATATTATCGATTCATTGCGATTCTATAAAGTCTTTTTTCTATAGGAAACATGTAATTGAATGTTGCGCGATGGGAAAAGTAGCTGAAGAGTTTGCCTTGCAATGGTCTGAAAACCGTGATGGAGAGGTTATTTGTATGCTGAGATGGTGGTACATCAACAAACAATATGAAGGTATTATGAATAATATAATACACCAAACTATGTTTGTTGGTTTATATGTGTTGTCTTATGATCTTAGTTTTTTTTTGTATAGGTATTATGAATATTATTGCAATGAAGAAGTATTGTGAGTTCTATTTCAATACGGATGTTCCTGATGTTCATCGTTTCCGTGATAGGTAATGACATTGTAAACAGAATCAATCAATTTAGTTTACTACTTCTTAGCTCTTTATACATATCATAAATTTTATTACAGACTACGATATGGTGAAGAAGCCTCGACCGCAAGCTCTGGAATCGAATGAACAATAATGAGACTGCATGTTTCCCTTTTGTGTTTCAAAAAATACTACTCAAACTATTTAATAAAGTTTTTGGATGTATTGAATTATTTAATTCTATTTCATAATGTTTTTAAACATATCTGATATTATTCTTTTTTTTTTTAACGGCATATCTGATATTATTCAAAACAATAATTTATTATGTAATTTGATCTATGAATGACTCCAACAAAACACCTAATTTTTTTATTAAACCTACTTTGGAAATGATAATGAAAAATCGCCAAATTTTTTTTTTTTTTTAAAAGGAACTTGTCCAAATCCGCGGGTCCAAAGTCTAGCAGTGTATTACATTTGTATACAGATTAGTAACTTAGAAAATACAAATATGTACAGAGTAAATGAGAATTAGCTTGAGCGATGATGATATGGGCAAATCATATCTTGATCTGTAACAGTAAGAAGAATATAATAGAAAATATAAATCCCCAAAATGTTGAAAGAATGTGAAAAAACTAGACTTTGACACAAGGGATCCATGATCGGAGATCTAAGTCATCTTTTTTTTCGTCCCTGACTTTTCTCTTAACCGTTAAGCTAAGATGGACTCGTCGGAGATCGAAGTGGTTCCTCTCGATTCCAAATCTCACCAAAACCCTACCGAATCTCCAACCATCACAGACGTCTTCTCCGCTTCTGCTTACGGCGATCTCCACCAGCTTAAACGTTTCGTCGAGCACAATGGTTCTTCTGTTTCTCTTCCCGACTCTAATGGCTACTACGCTCTCCAATGGTCTGCTCTTAACAATTCCCTCGACGTTGCTCAATACATCATCGAGGTACTATTGCTCGTTGCTGATTCTCAATTGTAAATTGGGATTACCGAAATTTATCTTCCTTTACCTCAGATTCGATCAGCTTTCGTAGCTTTAAGTTCTGGGTAATCCTCAGTTAGTGCGCTTTGTGATGTTTGCCTTTGGAGATTCGAGCTAACCTTTCTGCAGGTTTTTCTTGTTTCATCAAATCTTTTGATTGTATCTGTGTAGTAATGGATTTGATTTTGTCGTATCTCCAGCACGGTGGTGATGTTAATGCAGCTGATAATATACAACAGACACCATTGCATTGGGCAGCAGTAAAAGGTTCCATTGATGTTGCAGATCTTCTACTGCAAAACGGAGCTCGAATTGAGGCTAGTGATGTGAATGGATTCAGGGTAAAATCTCTTCTTTTTTTTCTCCTTAGGTTTGTGTTTAGGTGTCGTCACAAAAAGGCTCGAATTTATAAGCTTGTGTCATGTTAGTATCTTCCGGTAATGATTTCAAAATGCTTAAAACGGACTTTTAACGAATCAAACAAACATAATGAAGAATCTATAAATAATTTTTTTCTCCTCTTTAGTGGAAACTCATGCGTAGTGTTGTCATTAGTAGTGTGAAAATTTATAAGCTTGTGTCATTTGTAGTTTCTTAACTATGCTAATGTTTCAGGGTTAATAGCTATAGAAGATCGCGGCTCACGAATCAAACTTTGGTCATATACTTTGGATAAGCTATTCGCTATCTTACAGAATGTTTTCTGTACAGGCAGTGCATGTTGCTTCTCAATATGGGCAGACAGCTTTCGTGAATCATATTATTGTGAACTATACAGCTGACTATAACGCGTTAGATAACGAAGGGAGGAGTCCGCTACATTGGTATGTATACAGTGTGTGTGTGTGTGTGTGTTGCCTTTTTAAAACTTCTCAGCTCATTTGAAAATGCATGGACCAGTTCTGTGCACGATGCTCAGTGCTTTTCTAAGTTATTTCGCACGAATTTCCCAGCACATATGTTAGGAACTGTTTTTTTTGCTGCCTTAGAACAATATGGTGTGAGTGCTTTGGTACTTGACATACAGGAATAAAATAGTTCTTGCACTTTACTTCATTTCAAAGAAGAAATTTGATGGAACGTTTTTTCTTTTGTATTTTGAGCATCTCTGATCATTGTTTAGTTGCACTTGGTACTCTGTTACTTATCATTTGACAATATGAGGAGAACTAATGTGAACTGTGTATTTCCTCCTTGTTTGTATGACTCAGGGCTGCTTACAACGGATTCACAGAAACAGTCCGGTTACTTCTCTTCCGGGATGCATGCCATAATAGACAAGACAACACAGGCAATCCAAAACATCTTAACACTTTCTTTTAACTGTATCTAATTTTGTCCGTTCTAGAATTTAAGAAGAATCCAAAAGGTGAAGATTCTATGATTGATATCATTCCTGTGCTTCTGCTTACATTTATTTTAGATGCGTAAAATATAAGTGCAGAAACGGATAAGAATTTCTGAACTTCAGTCATTGAGTCCTGTTTTTGACTGGTGAAAACTGTAAATGATAGATATTTTACTTTACTTTTAAAACCTAATTTTTCTTACATTAATCACTTTGGTGGTTAGGTTGCACTCCTTTACACTGGGCCGTTATTAAGGAAAACGTTGAGGCTTCTACTCTGCTAGTTCATGCTGGGACCAAGGAGGAACTGCTATTGAAAGATAACACTGGTTCCACGCCACTTAAGCTTGCATCTGATAAAGGTCACAGGCAGCTCGCTCTTTTACTTGTACGTTTTAGTGTTGCTTGTTACTATTCTAAAATTAAAGAAACATTCAGAATAAGCTTTTTTGGATTTTGATATGTGAATGTCGCATACGCTTGCCGTCTTATTTAACTTTTATCATCATTAGTTGGACAGAAATAAGTTAAATAAGACTATTTACGAAACGTTTATCAGCAAAATATACTTTCAAAGTTCCGTAGTTTTGTATTTTCAAATATCCGAAAGAACAATAGCTTTGAATATGTAAGTTTGATGTACATATGGTTATAAGTGTACAATCTGTTTGATGTTGTTCACAGCCATTTTTATACATAGTTTCCATATGATATGAGATGTTTTCTGAGAATCCTTTTATATTTTTCAGTCGAAGGCAATGCAAACTCGTAAGAATAGTTGTGTAAACAAGATCTTCTGCGGAAAATTAGGAGGGACAAGCTATGCTCCAATGTTGTTCGGCGTAATAGTCACTCTTATGGTCCTCTTCTTCACATCCATTGTTGCAGGTGAATGACTAATGCAACATAATGAGTAGCATATGTATTTTTAAATTATTTTTCCTGACATTTTGCAAATTATATGCAGCTTCTAATCTCCCAAAAATAACTGCTATGCTTGGACTGTGGGCTTGGTTTGGTCTTTCATGTGGTGTTTGCTCACTGATTGCTTTCCGTCGTTGTAGCAGGTAATCCTTATTGTAATTTTATATTCTATTAGCTATTGTCAGTTTTAACCTGAAAGAGCGTACTACTTCGTTAACAAATGAGGTAGATATGTGAGGCTGTAATAACTATTATGTACTCATATGTGTACTTTGTAGTGTCGTTGAGATTGTGGGTTTGCTCTTGGAATGATTAATTAGTTGTCTGTTATGTACAGCAAAGATCCTGGGTACGTTAAACGAACCAATGAACTTGATGGCCATCAGACTTCCGACGTAAGTTGTACTTCCTTTTCATGTTTCTATGTTGAGAGAAATCCGAACTTTTTGAGTAAAACTGTTGATTATGCACATAAAAACATACAGAATCGATCTGCAGTTGTTTTCGTGTAGAATCTGCCGAACTATGCCTGATTTAAAGTAGAAGACCAATTGTTTTTCTGAAAGGTTTGGTTCACATACTGAATGTTCTTCTTCTGATCATTGCAGGAGCCTTTAATTGATATCAGTTTCAACAGCCCCTCATGGAAAGGAAACTGGTCACAACTCTGCCCCACTTGCAAGGTTTTTCCTCAGAAACCTCTTTTTTCAGGAGAAAAACCAGGAACTTGCTTTCTTCTTTCTACCTACTTTCATCACATTTTAATTCAGGTAATTAGACCGGTGCGATCTAAGCACTGTCCCACTTGTAAGCGGTGCGTTGAGCAGTTTGACCATCATTGCCCCTGGATATCAAACTGTGTTGGTAAGGTAAAGAGTTCTTTGCATTGCGACTTTCTTTTTACTCGGCGTTCTGCAAATTAATTGGCAAATGATATAGTAAACGACATTAAACACCCTGTTGATGTTCTATTTTATACGATTACTTATCTTTCAGAAGAACAAACGTGACTTCTTAGTCTTTGTGATCATGGGAGCTTTAACATCATTCGTCGGTGGCACAACCGCTGTTCAAAGTAAGCGTCTGAAAACAACTCTCCTTAGCTTAACGTTCTGTACTAAAGCATCTCTGTTTCTGCAACAGGAATATGGAGAAGCATCTCACAGATACACCACAGAGAATCATGGATTCAACATCTAGTCATTGAACATCCCGGCGCCGCCGTGTTTCTGTTTTTCGACGTACTTATTTTCATTGCGACAATGACACTGAGCATCTCACAGGCGTATATGGTCAGTATCTCTCAGCTTAGAGTAAAGAGTTTGCTCTCCACTCTGCAAATGATTGTATTAACAGTTCTTGTTGTTGTCTGGTGCAGATAGTTCGGAATATTACAACCAACGAACTATGGAACGCGAAAAGATTCAGTTATTTGCAGGGACCTGATGGGAGATTCTACAACCCTTATAACCATGGCTGGAGAAGAAACTGCTCTGATTTCTTGGTTCATGGCTACACCAGAGACGACGAGGTTGTCCCGTCTTCAATTCTCTGATTTTACATTGCACCTTTACTTGCATAAAGGGCATGAACATCTGATTCAATGTACTGTGTTCCACCTTGTAATTGTTATGGGATGTCTGTATTACATACATACACCTTGAAATTGTTTCAGATATACCTAAACGATGTAGGCTTTAAACAACCGGCCCAATTAGGCCCAATAAACAGACTCAAATACTCTTCGGCTCACCCACCTCATGTGTCACTAAAACGGCGGTGATCGCATCGTTATTACTCCCTCCGGCTTTATCCCGACCATTGAAGTCACCCACGAATAATCACGATCTGCTCTACAAAATCAAAATCAATGGCGAAGAACTTAATCGACGGAGAGACGTCGAAGCGGGTCGTTGTATGCGGCGGAGGCGTTATCGGCGTCTGCACGGCGTACTTCCTCGCTGAGAAAGGAATCGCCGTCACTCTAGTCGAGAAATCAGCCGTAGCGTGCGCCGCTTCCGGTAAAGCCGGAGGGTTTCTAGCTTTCGATTGGTGCGATGGAAGTCCCGTCGCGTCTTTAGCACGCGCGAGCTTCAACCTCCATCGATCACTCGCTGAGGAGCTAAAAGGCGTCGAGTCGTATGGATACAGACCCCTCACAACGCTTAGCCTCACCGTGACGGAATCGAATCCCGTCTCCGGCGGTTTGGGCTTACCGGCTTGGGCTGAGCTTATTGTAGACGGTGTAGCCACTAGTGTTGATCTTAGCCGGTTTAGTCCTTCCCGGTTTAGCAAACGAAAAGGAAGGGTTTAATTTTGTATATGGTGTGTTCATAGAGATACTACATCTGGTTATGTAATTATCGTGTGGTAATGATGTGTGGGTTATGTGCCGTAGGCCCGTAGTTGTTGAGCTTGTTAAGGGAAATCCGAAACAAAGATTAGAATATTTATTATAGCATCAAACAGACTGTTCTAGATATTAGTTATTCTTAAATGTAGACCCTAAATGAAATATCTAAAATTACAATTATAAATCAAATATATTAATTATAATTAGACTTAGTTTAGGATTTAATCAACTAAATTAGCTCTGGATATTTGGGTACCCATTTGAATTTAGGATGGGATATTGATTACTTCAGTTTTAGGCTATAAATTCCAAAATATGTTTTGGATCAGACTCTGATCGGTTCGGATATCCAAATTATTTAAAATTTATTTAATTTTTTAAAAAATAATTAGATTTTAAAAGATATTAATATCTTTGGTTAAATTTTGCCAAAATATTAATTTTTGACATATATAATTAAAATCATTTTGATTATTTTACTTTAAATATAATAATATATTCGATTTATAGTTGGGATTTTGAGAATTTTTTTTATATTATATTTAAATATAACTAATATTCCTACATGTATCATTATATTTTAGGTATCTGTTCGGTTGTCAGTTCGAGTTTGATAACGCTTCTTCGAATATAGAGGTGAAAGCTCCATTCTAGTATTTACATTATTTCGGTTCGGTTTGGTATCATAAAATCTGGATTGGGTTCGGATGGATTTTCGGATCTAATTTTTATGCCCATGACTAAACTAAACAATTAAAATATCCAAAATATTCAATAAACTTTATATTTGCCAAAACTAAATAACCTTCGATATATAATTATAATGAGGTCACCAAAACAACTAAAATAACCAAAATATTCAACATAATTTATATTTGTAGAAATTACCACATAACTTTGTATAAAATTAATCAAATATTCATGTATTTCAAATAAATTTTGAGTAATTTGAAAAGATCCGGTTAAGCAGAAAAATAGAGTATTACCATCAAGTGAGAAACGATCAGTCTAAAATTAAAAAAATATTTAAGCCATTTATAAGCCTAAGCAGTAAAATATTTTGTCACTTTAGTCGTCGATTGATAAAATTTTAAAAGTCACATATTTAATATTGGTGTCAATTGTTAATTTAAAATATAAAAAATTATATTTACATTTCTCTGTTCTTATGTTCATTTATAAATCATTAATGTTCTTTCATAAATGTTTAATATTTGTAATTACATTACGAACAATATTAATCTTTTTCCATAAAACTTTTAATGTGATCTCTCTCTCTCTCTCTCTCTCTCTCTCTCTCTCTCTCTCTCTCTCTCTCTCGATCGACCGAGAATCATAACAGGATGTGTGGCGAGGGCGGCGGTTATGATGGCGGAGAAGATATGGTGAAGGGGGTGATAATTTGGGGTCAAGGCATTGAATCAACTCGGAGAAGATGCGGCGAAAGGGGAGGTTATGATGGTGGAGAAGGTGTGGCAATGGGGTGATGAGTGTAATGACCTAGGTCTTTGGGAGAGGATTGAGAAGCGGAGAGTGCGAGTTGTGTTTGAAGAATGATTTGTTTGGGTTGGAATTTGGCCATTTTTGAGTGAGAAAATAGTTGGTTTATGAAATAAAAATTGGGCTATGTTATAATTAAATGAAAGATTCGTTTGGGCTGTAAATAGACTTGACACAATTATAATCTAGAATTAGATGGAAATTGATGTGCTGAAGTGTCATTATTTTAGACACTCTTAGATTATGTACAATGGTGTATATATTAACACCCTCCATCTCAACTTTTAATACTCCACATCATATTCTCTTTCTTCCACATACTCATTCAACATTTTATTAAATTTTACACTTTACAATAGTTTTATTTAATAAAATTCAACACCTTACCCTACCATTTCACATCATATTTTTATTTTATTTTTGATTTTTCTAATTAATAACAAAAAATAAATATTATTTATAATTATAAATTATATAATTTGTACTAAGAGTATTTTTGTAAAATATTTTTTTTTCAAATGGTAAAAATAACAATAATTATTATTAAAATATAATACAACTCTTAATCTTACATAAAACATAAAATACAATACTTTAAATAAACACACAACATAAAAAAAACTTTTAAATCACACATAAAAAATTAAAAATCAAACATAGAAACTCAACTCACAAACAATATACAGAAAAATGATAATAGACGAAAGAAAAAGATAATAGTAAAAAATGATGATTTTTTATGTCCAAATGTAATGAGAGTAGTCTCCATTTATAGATCTTAAAATTTGCTTAATTTTGGTAAAAAAATTATTTGATAAAAAATTGTTTATTAAAAGATAATGTAGTTCAAAAATTTTAGAGGCGATAAAAATTATGGAAATATTTCTAACCAATCAAATTTCACCATGTTTTTTAATCCAGAAATAAAGAATTTCCGCCGTGTGTGGCACGCGCTGACCAACTTTCCTCCTTGTTATATTTTGATATTTGGCTTCATAGGTCCCATATTTTTTTTAATTCAACCGGTTGAATATTTTCAACACAAAACAATAGTGTATTCTTCAAAAATTCAACAGCCTTATTGAAAGTGTTAAATTGTTGAATTAATTTTTCAATAAGCTCATTGTACATAGCCTTAGATGAAATGGTAGTCTAAAAAGAGAGCAACTTTTACTATATACTAGGGATTGCCCGCGCGATGCGCGGGTTTAGTCTGAAAAAAATTAACTTTTTTATTTTCATTTGATTTTGGTTTGAATAAATTAATTTGATCCATTTTTGTTGTACTATTTTAGCTGTGTCGCTTTTGTTATAGAATTTTGTCAAGCTCTTTTGTTAGGTTCGTAACTATTCGAATGGTACACATTTTATATTAGTGTATGTTAGGTTTGCAACTATTTAAATGATACACATAAATTATCAATAAAATATATTATCTTCTAATTCTCTCACCAATGTGGGTTATGGTGTTCTGTTTTGTTTTGTTTTTGTTAAAAATTCAAAACAAAAAAAAATTTATGATTATTATAGTGGATCTTCATAATTAATTAATTGTTAATATATAAATAGTATAATCTACCAACATATCTCATTTAGTTTCTCTTTAGTCAACAAAGATTATAAAAATAATTATTTAAATTTTAATTGAAACCTTAAACTTTTCAAACACATAGAATATATTAAGAGATTTCTAATTCTTACTTTCTTAATATTAGACCAAAGTTTTTTTTTTTTTACTAAATTTGGCATTAGACGAAAGTTACGTAACAAAATTATAAAACATTCTAAGAAATGGTATAAGACAACTTCTAGCCAACTAAGCTGAAACATCAATATTATTTATCATATTGTTCCGGGTACATAGAGAAAATTAAAAGCAAATGATGGAGATGAGAAAGGTAGGATATCCTTTACGTGACAATAGGAAGGCGACACAAGAAATTTCTTCTCCTGTTGTGTATGGCTTCAATGACTGTGTCTTGCAAAATTTTGCTGTCCCTGCAAAACTGACATAAACATAGGATAAGTTTTTATTTTCCTTAACTGCCATCAGCAAAGCAATTGCCTTAGCTTCCAAAGGAGTTAAAGTTGAGCAATCGATGATTTGCCATGAAGGATACACTTTCTTTTTATAAAGATTCCAAGCAATGCATGTTGGTGGGGAGATACCCATAATGCATATGTGAGACATACATATTGCTTACAAACACTGAATAATATTTCAGTATTTTTTATATTTTTGTGTCCATGAGCTCCCTGGTTTGAAGGTATCATTTCATCTTGCCTTAATTTAGATTCATACCATAGTTGCTTACCCAAGATTGCATTATTATATATATATATATACAGTATTTATAAGATGGGGAATGAATTCTTTTCAATTTCAAAAGACCAAACTATTCCTGGCTTTTCATAATCACCATTCTTTGAAGGAAAAATAAGGAAGCCATACATTGATAGTTAGGACAATTAAGTATGAATGTTTAGAGATTTTGTTGAAGAGAATTGGACACCATTGTTACCCACTTTGGAGAATATCTAGAAAGCAAATCAATCAATGGCTATACTACCTATTAGAGAATAGTTTAGAAGATGATATTTGTTTGCAATGACAGCTGAAATTATGGGCACATACATTCCGGAAAAATGAACAACCAAAAGGGAATAATTGTAATATCGTATAAGGAGAGAGAGCCTTGCAT